AACTGCTTGCTGCCATCCTGCCACCTCTTTTATGTAAGGGAACGAGGTTAACTGTCTTCCACTGTGAGGGCAGCCTTCCTGTTCTCATTGACAGCTCAAAGAGAGTCGAAAGAGGCCTTGGCAGCTCCGTTGATAGCTCCTTAAGTATCAGCCCAGGAATTCCGTCGGGAACAGGAAACTTATCTGGTTTTCTTTGACTGAGGACGCGTCCTACTTCTTCGACGGAAAAGGCAACGGTTCAAAGGACGGCAGTATCTTGGCGCATTTAATGCTGGGACATGTAATGGGTTCTGCTATCAGTCGGCGCTCGAAAAAAGTTCTAGCAACCCGTATTTGTTTGCGGCACTTAGTGTGCTGCTCCTTAAATGTGACGAATTACGTTGGGTCTCGAAGATGTAAATACTTTTTTTGCATAGTCTTTTTTGTCATCGCGCACATGGCCTTGTCATTTTTATTTAACAATGGGGGTCAATTAGACGCTCTAAAATCCCTCGAAAGTACTGCTAGTATTCTTCTGAATCTTCCATGTCGACTAACCAGATTTTCTCCAAAAGAGTGCGTCTCATTGCGTTAAAGTCACCCTTCCAAATATTTCTGCGCCCCTTGGTTTTTGGTTGTTGGTTCGATAGGAGAGAGCACACACCGGTAAAAGCAATATGATCGTTTAAACCGAGTAAGGGTTGTGGATTCACTTCCCTCTGACTACTTCTTCTTTACCGTATACGAGATCTAAACAGTTAGATCGTTGTCCTTCTCTCAGTCGTGTTTCGAATTTTATGTGTTGAATGGGGTATTTATTCAGAGAGATCTGTAGTAGCTCCTGGTCAAATGACGTGAACGGGGCGTTTGGTAAGGGAATTTTCCACTGTATTCCTGGAGCGTTAAAGTCACCCAGAAAGATCAAGTTTTCCTGCGTACGTAACACCTCCAGTGCACTAAGTTATTCCACATCGAGCTGGGAGGCCGATAGACAACACACAGGTTAAGTGCATATCTTGCATGAATTTATTTCGAAATTTCCCAACGCCCCATCGAATATTTCTCGTTGGCAGCACGGACTTTCATTTGACACATAAATTGCTGTGCCCCCTCCTCCTCCTCCTCCTCCTCTACGTTGAAATCTGTCACAACGGAACCCTTGGTAGCCTCCAATACTGACTTCGCTACAACTTATTTCCTCAGTCAACCATGTCTCTGTTAGGACAATTATGTGAGGCTTCTGTTCAGAGACTACTAATCTAAGTTCATCTAGCTTGTTGAGGAGACTCTGACAGTTAGTGTAATGGATTTCCAGACGCCGACCACTGGTACCCAGAGCCTCAGGCGTTGGCACCTTTGAATTGGTTAGGCTGTCAGAACCGGGAAGCCTTTCCATGTTTCAGGATTTGAGTGTTTGATAATGAAGCGCACAATAACCAGCTCATATTTTCTAGGTTAAAGGAGTTTACGCTGTTTTATTCTAAGTATCGGTGATCCAAATAATGACTTTATTTTGTCCGAAAAGTTGTCCCAAAAGAAAGTATATTTACAAGTAAGAAAAGTAAACATATGAAGTAAATAAAATGGCGATATAATGATATTGAGGCAGTCAAGAGACTACAAACCGAATCCATCCTTGTGGAATCGTCGAAGCGCAAAAGACTGCGATTCGAGTTAACGCAAGTCAAAAATTCAAGATCATGCTCGAGGCTTCTGGCTCACAAAAATCTTAGATTGACTAGCTAGCATATGTCACAGTAACAGACATTAAATTAAACATGAGAAAATGTTTTGTGGCGCAAAACATCGAATTGGTTTTGGTTTTACCGAGCGTATTTGAGTTCATTAAACCAAAGAAAGGACAAATATTTAATTATTTATCATACTGACGACACAGGTACTAGCTAAAATCCCAGACACGTATGCTTCGTCGATCTTGTGCCGCTGCCTGACGCAGCCGCGAGGGGTTCGGCTCATCAGTGGGTCACCCAGCCCTCCCCGCGTGTTTTCTGGCATATAAACTACAGTTTCTCATTACCTTGTTTAATTTCCGAGGAAAAAGGCGCTTGAATATGATAAAGACAAATGCGCGACAAGGTCTTCTACAATTTTTTTGGGAGAAAATGTGTGGGATATGAAGTCCGATATCTTGGCAGTCGCTGAAGAAAAGCTATCCGCATGAGGTGATAAATCTAACCATTTGTACAACTCAAACTTAGATCCTAATGCTGGACCACTCTAAAAATGAACCAATACAAGAGCTTATAGAATAGGCTTATTAGGGCATCGGGAAGTTTAGTGAAACCACCTGTTTGCTAATCTGCCGAAAATTATCAGAGGAGATAACAGCGTTGCAACTGATTACTTTCCTTATTATTGTAAAGAAAAAGGGATCTGCCTTTGAAGGAACATCAAATTTAATGAAAATTATTTAGTTGGGTAATTGCAGTGGATTCGAATTGGAAGTACGGTAGGCCGTTAGATGTAGCGACTCAATACGCGTAGTAGAAGACCTTGATTGCTGAAAAATATGGGTAATATTTGTTTAGTCAGGTAAACAAGCATTACATATTGAGGTCCTGCGTGAGCATGTATTAACTCAAAATCTGTCAGTGCTTGTTGCAGGTGTGAGCGCTACTGCATGTGCGGAGAGTACAACCCCTATGGTCGTTAAGTGTTTCAGAAATTACGGAATGGTCGGGCGAAGACGTGCTCACAAATAATACTAACGAACACAGATGAGGAGTGCTGCCTCAGATACACGGCGAACTTGGCTCAAGATATGGCTTCCTTTTTGACACGTTGCACATAGTTTGTTTAGGTTTCGTTTGGCGTCGTATAGTGGCGTGACATAGGGGTTCCATGAAGAATACTAATTTTTTATTAACGACCCCTCTGGGTCCCATCAAAGCAAGTAAAAATAAAGTTACATGCGAAGTTTAGACGAGGTAGGCAAAATCTTTACAAAGTGCAATTCATAGTTACTGAATTATTAGTCCGTTAAGAAAAATGATTAGCGAGAGGTGAAAAGAAACTCCGCTTAAAAATTTAAAAATAACTGGATTAATTTTCCAGGAGAAAAAACCCCTCGCTAAAAAATAATAACAGAAAAATGCGGGTAGGACTGGCCTGTATGTGGCCTTGAGTAAAAGGTTCGAAACCTCATCATCAAGACAGAATTCATGTGCCGGATGAGGTCATTCATGTCTAAGTGGCGAATTGAAAACCAGTCTCGAGGCGATAGGAACACAGATGCGATCGGTTACATTCATCCGAGTCCATCCGAGGAGGGGGCAAGGGAGAGGCGACCAAACTACTAGTATATGACGAATACAGAAGGTCCCGACAAGAGCGTTGATAGAGCCTATTCTGTGAGGGCACGATGCATGAACTGAAAAATCGAAAAAATTAACATTTCTGATGAGAGATCCTAGGAAGCGATACGACTCACAAAAGAAGGAAAGCTGACCGGATACGGAAATTTAATGGCGGCGTCCTAAACTCCCGGTGGCTCTTTGTCAGTGTCATAGCGAAAGTTGTCCGGGAAGGACGAGGAAAATAAAAGTTTAATTGAGTCAGTATTTAGATAAAGGCGTAAGCTTCTCTTAAAGGTGTGTAGATTATCTGAAGATATTATATTTATTGGAAGGTTATTCCAGAGGAAAGTATACCTGGAAGCAAAAAGAGAGTACGCTTAGAGGTGGAGGAAGCGGGAGGAGGCATAATCAGGGAAGAGTTGCGAAGATTGTATGGGCGACTATTAGTGGTAAGCGCAGAAATCTGAGGAAGATTTGTGCTATTATTAATGCGAAAGAGAAGACAGAAGCCTGCTTCTAGTCTTCGAGCCCATAAAAGTTTTAGGTTAATTAGCTGGCATCTATCTTAGTAGGAGATATTTGAATGTTCCATGCCTAAAAGTTGTCTAGTAAAACGTCTTTGAAAATTTTCACTTTTTGATTGACTAGCCTCATTCATCAAACCAACGAATGGGCAAAAATACTGGAGAATGGGAAGCACAAATGTACGATAGAGACTTCATTTAATTTAAGGAAGATAAAAATTGTAGGAAATAAAGCCACATATCTGGGCCGCTTTGGCTGTAATCCGGTAAGCATGTGGCGAGAGATCAAGATTATTAGTTTAGCTTAAACCTAAATCATTTATGGTGGTACATTCAGTCATAGGTGTGCCTTGAAAGACCACTGGTTGGGGTAGCCTATCAGGTCCAAAACACATATAGCGACATTTAGAAGGAGAGAATTCCATTAGCCATTTTGAGCTCCAAGCTGAGAGAGCCGGCAAGTCAGGATTGATTTGCTCCAGGCAATGAAGGCTCGTAGATTTATTGAAAGAATTTGAGATCGTCGGCATAATAAATAACTGAGAAGGTTTAACTGCCGCCGAGATATCATTTATGTGAAGCTGGAACAAAAGAGGACATAAAGCGGTATCTTATAGAGCACCAATTACAATAGGGTTTACATTGGAAAGCGAAGGTCCCACTAAAACCTTATGTTTGCGATTAGACAGGTATGACTGGATAACCTCTATTAGGGGACTGCGAATTCTCAGAGCTTCTAATTTAACCAAGACTCTTTTGTGTGGCACTTTATCAAAGGCTTTACTAAGATCAAAATAAATAACGACAACAGATAGATGGCGATTACGAAGAGAGGTAAGTAGATTGAGAAACGGCAGATGTCATGTTTCACAAGAGCTGTAGTAGGCGGACCGTCCTGGGGCTTTAGCTGGGAGACTGGTTCCTGACTTACATCGACTCGCTCGATAGGAGGAGATGGGGGTGGGGCCGCTTTCACCTTTCCTGAACGGTTGGTCTTAGGTCCTGGCATCAGGCGACCAGACAACGTCTCAACTTACAGGTGTGATCCGAACAGTCAAAGAAGATGTAACAGGTAAACGATATATTTGGAAAAGGGGGGGTATTAAAACGGAAGAACAAGGAGGGTCAGAGGCGCGGAAAGTTCCAGGGGGTAAAGGGGCGAAGAGGAAACACTTGCTGGTCAGGGAGGTAGTTCCGGAGGTACGATATCCACGGGATTTTGGGCGTTTCCTTGCTCACGTTCGCTGTCCTCACCTGAAATACCAGAGAGAAGACGCACTCAAATCACGGCGCGAAACCTCCCGCCTCCTTTCTTCCCGCTCGCCCGTTTTTTTCTCTCTTTTAAACAAACCTGCCTTTCCGGTTCTTACCTACCCCTTCCTCAGATGGAGCCCTGTCCGCAGGGCTGTCTGGTTGGGTCATGCCCACTGTTTCTTCAACCACTGGGGTGGGGACTAAATGTGAGGGAATGATGGGGGTTACGTCCGCGGTGGCGGTGGGTAGCCGTCCTCTGTAAGGTTTTAGCTTGTCGAAATTGGTGGTGAAGGTGGGTCCATCGGGGCGTGAAGCATCACGCAATACATACGTGGTGCGGTGTATGACGTCGACAACAACGAATGGTCCTTCCCACGGATGAAAGAACTTGGCCACCGTCCCTAAGGGCGGTACTGGCCGGAAACGCCAAACCAGATCGCCTAGTTGGTAGGGGTTGCCCTGAACCTGACGATCAAAGTATGTTTTCTGTCGTTCGGCGGCCGCTCCTAGGTAGTTATGTGCGAGGGTGTAGGTGGAGCGTAGCAAATCCTGCAGCTGCCATACGTAGCTATCTGGTGCGTATTCGTTTGCGGCGGGTTGTGGGAACCGTGAATCTGCGGGAAGGCGAAATTGACGTCCTGTTAGCATAAAGAAAGGTGGGTTGCCAGTTGACGTGTGTGTGTTAGCACGGTACGCCATCATGGCACACGGTAGACGTTTATCCCAGTCGTTAGGATGATGGTCTTCGGCGAACGCCTTCAACAGTTGATTAAGTGTGCGGTTGGTTCGTTCCACCAATCCGTTGCCTTCGGGATGTGCTGGAGTGGTGCGGGTCTTGTAGATATCGAGGAGGTCACAGACCTCTTGCAGCAGTTTGCTGTCGAAGTTAGCCCCGCAGTCGGAATGTATTGACAACGGAACACCGAACCGACAAATCCAGTTGTTGAAGATTGTATTGGTGAGCGACACTGCATCTTGTCGCAATAGCGGTATGTACAAGTGAAATGATATTCCTGTAACATTTCCTGCCAGCGAGCCGGTTGGCCCTCTGCGTCCTTCGTGTTTTGTAGCCATTGCAGAGCCTTATGATCGGAGCGTATGACGAACGGCTTACCTAGCATATATAGCCGAAATTGTTTAACGATGGTGACTATGGCCAATAGGTCGCGTCGATATGTGCAGTAATTTCGTTGTGGCTTGGTGGGTGTTTTGCTAGCGAAACAGATAACGCATTCTAGGCCGTTATCGTCGGTTTGCGAAAGGACACCTCCCATGGCGAAGGCAGTGGCGTCCGTGTCAAGTACGAAGCGTGGCGCCGTCTCGGTGGTATTGGGGAGCATAAGTATCGGTGCTCTCGACAGGCGGGTGCTCAGCTCCTCAAACGCGGCCTGGCATTCGTCCGTCCAACGAAATTCGCGCCCTTTTTCTGTAAGGCGGTGTAACGGACGCGCAATACCTGCAAAATCACAAATAAACCGTCTGTAATAGGACGCCAACCCGATAAAACCTCTGACTTCCGTGGTGGAGTTTGGCGTCGGCCAAGTGAGAATAGCTCCCGCCTTTTCGGCTGAGACTTTGATACCCGACGGGCTGACTTCGTGTCCTAGGTAGTTAACCTTCTCTCGAAGGAATTGACACTTCTGTAGGTTAAGCGTAAGGCCGGCCTTCCACTCTCTTCCGCCGATCCCCTCTCCCGCTCCGTATCGTGTCGTAACGTTCGTACCGCTGCCCTCGCTACATCGGCAACTCCCTCGGCCCTTCCCTGCAGTTGCCCCCAGCGCTGCGCTCCCCACGGGTTGTCCAGCTGGCATGTTGGCCTCGCCTCTCCACCCAGACAGGTCACTCGACTGCTGTAACTCATCTCGCTTGTACTTTTAACTGTCATTATACTCCTTTGCAATTCCCTTTTCTGTTCATTATATCTTCTCGTCCACCTATCATTTCTTCTTACTTTATGTATGGATGAGTATCGTGAACTGCTAAAAATCGTATTCAGATCAACACAAGCCAGGATCTCCTCCTCGGTATTCCGTTACGTGGTTGTGCGCTACCCTTGACGTCCTCGGCCGCTACAGGCCAGCTGTAAGGGGGCGGTCGCACAGTTCCTACGTATTTGTCAGGAGGCTTACCATCGTTGTCTGGACTAAGAGCTGGAAAAGATGAATATATATCAGGAGTAAGAAGCATTCAATGGTAAGTCACAATCAAAACTGTCTAAATACTATTGAATCATGTATCATATTGTTCTTGTTAATGTGAAATTATAGGAGTAGTGGTCGACTGTTTACTATGACCTAATATAGTTCTGTATATGTTTAATACGGCTTTAATATAGACATACGCACGACTAATATGCAGGGTTTTATCGAAGGGTATATTTTTATTAGCTTTATAAGGGATATTTATTGTCAGGTGACATAGCTGATGAAAACGAGAGAGGGAGGAAAATAGAAGAATATAATTATCTGTTCTATGTTTATCAATGATGCTATCATTTATAAATTTGATTATTTTTAGTGCTATGTTCCGGTATTTTTCAATCGGCTGGCATCATCAGAGCCCTTTTGGACCAAATTCAATATCAAAGAATTGACTTGAAAAATGTCCTATCTTATTCAAAAATAAATGTGTATTGTTATTTGAAAGGAATTTCTTAGTTTTTATTTTAAATTCGATTAGGGTTCGACATTTCCGGATAGAGCTTGGAAGAGAATTTCAGATAGTCGCATATCTTATGGTGTAGAAATTTGACCGTTGGGACATTGTGAATTTGGGAATCCTTATAATATCCTCGCTATTTCTGGTGTTTCTAGGGGCGTTTTGGTTGGTAAGTAAATTCATTTTGAGAATATCTTGATCGTGGGTGACCTTGAATAGGAAGTTTAGATCATTTTGAAGTCTTCTGATCCAGAGTGGTCGAAGACCGTATTTATGATATAGTTCTAAGTATGAACCCTGGATGCCATCACTTCTAGACAAAGATCTAGTAAAACGTCTCTGAATGCCTTCTAGTTTCTTTCGGCCGTCTGAGGGCATTATGCCGAAGAAAATTGAACAGTAATCTAGGAGAGGTAAAACATACATTTTGAACAGTTGTATTCTTAGTGCATTTAAGGTGAAATTTTTACATATGAATCCACACAGGCGAGTGGCTTTCGGTGATATTTGTTGGACGTGGGGAGATAAATCAAGGGTATTTGTATAGCTGAGACCTAAATCTTTTACCGATTGGGCCTCTGTTATTTCATTATCCTCGAAAATTATGGGAGGAAGTTTTTGTGGGCCAAATATCAGGAGATGGCATTTTTTCGGGTGAAAAGGGCATCTGCCACTGACTACTCCATTCGCTGAGTTTTATGAGATCAGTTTCAATTGTTCTATGAATATTGGCTACTGTATTCCCGTTATATGCATATACAATTTTTAGGTCGTCCGCATATAAAAACGTCTTAGCTGAGACAGATATGGACGATAAGTCGTGAATATATATAAGAAATAGAAGGGGGCCTAGGATAGTGCCTTGAAGTACTCCACTGGTAATAGGGGATGGTTCTGAAACGACGTTTCGAATTTGCACCACCTGGTATCGGTTTTGAAGATAAGATTTAAGAAAATCGAGAAGGGGTGGCCTAATTCCATGACTTTTTAGCTTTATCAGTAGTCTGTTATGGGGGACTTTGTCAAAGGCCTTTCTTAGATCGAAGTATATTGAAGCTACTGTGTTTCCATCATCTCTATTGCTGGAAACCTATTCCAAAAAAGTAAGGTGGCAGGACTGACATGACTTTTTGGGCAAAAGTGCATGTTGAGAGGAGGGAATGAGGTTGGCGTTCATGAGATGGTCTAGCAATTGGTTTTTATAATATTTTCTCGAGGATTTTAGCTATAGCCGGTGTTCGGTGGACACCACGATAGTTTTGGGTATGAGATCGGTTGCCGCTTTTAAATATGGGCGCAATGGTCGAGTATTTCCACATGTCCGGAAAATTGCATTTGACTGGAGTAGGGTGAATAACTTAGATAGGAGTATTGGAGCATATGTCATATACTTCAGAATACAAGGTGGGATTTTGTCTGTCCCATAAGATTTGGTGTTTGATAGTTGTTTGATGGCTACTTTAACAGTTTCTTCACTAAAATGGATCTCACTAAGGATACGATCAGTCATCTCGGTCGGTTGGGGGATGGTTCCCTCTTCGACTGTGTAGTTAGCTGAGAAGTTCCTGTTGAATAAGTTTACTATTTGTTTATCATTGGTTATAACTTGCCCTAATTCATTAATAATAGTTCGTGGTCCTGACTGTCGATGATTACTCATTAGTTTCTGAAACATCTGAGCTGTTCGTTCGGGAGATTCTAGTGCCCGATGTTCTGCTGCTATGGTCTTTTGTGTTTCTATTTTCGTGACTAGGTCGTGAATTTCTCTAATTCGTCGAAGTGTGGAAAAATAACTCACAGAGGGGTCGCGTAGCTGTTTTTGTAGCTTTTTTAGTTTAGTTGAAAGGAAGTTCGGGATTGGTGATTTCTTATACGGGAGTCTTTCGTCTATCAAGGTATCTCGAATTACAAATAGGACAGAGTATAATAGGTTAACTGCTTCCATAGGGGATGTTGTAAGAAGATATGGGCTCCAGTCCAATGATCTAATATATTTGTTCATGGAGTCCTCGTCAAGTTTTTTTGGTTTTAGGCGGGTGTTACTAAAATGGGGTGCTAGTTTTGCGTTTAAGGGGAGTGTTGATATTATTGCTTTATGGGCACTTTCAAAGGTTGCGCAGTCGTAGTGCATATAGAGGGGCCAGATATCGTTGGTGAAAATAACGTCTAGTATATTGTTTCCTCGGGTGGGTTTGTCAACTATCTGTGTCCAGTTATTAAAGATAATTGAAGACAAGAATTCTTCGTGCCTGGTAGGTGCTGATAATTCGACCCAGTCTATTTTTGGGCGGTTTAGGTCGCCTGTAATTATCTTATATTCAGTTTTTATGTTAGCTATATTGCTTATTAAGAGGTTGAGGCTTGTGTCATCACTACTACATTCTGGAGGGGAGTAGAGGCATCCGACTAGTATGTTTTACTGGGCATGAGATTTTATTGTGGCAAAGGTTTCGGTTGGGACATCAATACCACTTTGCTCAATGGTAGTTTTGATGTAGATAAGACAACCTCCGCCCCGTTTATTAACACGGTCCTGTCGATAGAAATTATAATTTGGGACATATAGTGAAGCATTCGATGTAAGCTCATTTGCCCATGTTTCTGTAATGCAAATTACATCGGGGTTATATATTTCAACAAAAGTTCTAAGTTGGGATATTTTGTTGACAATCGATCTGGAATTTATAAGAGCTATCTTTAGGATGTTGGATATGGAAGAGGTGGGCTGTGGTGAAAAAAAGGATTTCTGGGGGTACTTTGAGTGAGTGATGGACTAAATGGAGGTAGGTGTGTGATTCTCGGAGGATATGGTGATGCGTATGGCGTAGTGTGAGTGCATGGGCTAGTGTGTATGGACCGAGGATACATATGGGGAGGTGCGTTGACTAGGTGGTAATTGTACCTAAATGAAGTTTCAGTTGGGGAGGTGTAAAAGCCGAAGTAATTTGTGGGATTGTAATTAGGTGGTAAGGAGTTTGGAATGCTAGAGTGATGTGGCTTATTCCTATGCCATGCAGGTGGATTTTGGGGAGTCGAGATGCCGTTATAGAAGCTTGTTTGTTTTTGGTTAGAGTTTGATGGGCTTCTATTTGTTATGCCAACATACCTAGGGCGTTTTGGTTGTGTTGGTGTGATTAGTAAGGCCTTTTGGTTTATGTGTCCTGTTTGGTAGTCGTTTTCTAGTACTGACTGATCGGTCTTGGGGGATGTAGTAAAACTTATACTGCTATCTAAGGGTGTCACATGACTCGGTCCTGGATCTGCCTCATCGTTCTGTTCTGGTTGAACGTTGGTATTTTGTTGTGCCTTCCTCGTTTGTTTCTGACCAGCAGTCCTAACTGCTTTTGCAGTTGCGCGTTTTTTATTATGAGAACTAGAGTCAGACGTACTTGCTGGAGGTCCTTCTGCGGGGGCTGTGGGTTTATCATTTGGTTTACGCTGGCCTGTGTATTTCTATTTATTAGTGCTAGAAGTAGAAGTAGTGGCTAAAGGTTCAGTTGAGGGACCGGAGTGCTGATTATCATATTTGTAGTTGGTGTCTTTTTCCCGAAGTTTACGTCTTTGCATAGGTGTCAAATCTGGACCTATAAACGAGTTTAGTTTCCGCAGATTTCTGTTTACTTCGGGATTTTGTAGGACAATCTCAGCTTCCGCCTGTGAGTAGAATGTTACTAAGACGGGTTTATTTTTGCTTCTGGAGTGAAGTCTTTTAGTGTTAGCTACTCTGATATTTAAGCCACACGAATGTATAAAATTTTGAATTGATGGCGTCGGATTAACGGTGTGGGGTATATTACGGATAATTAAATTGAGCCTGCGTTTCGATCTATCCGCGACTTCTGACGAAACTAAGTGTATAATCGATTCAATTTGTGGTAGGCTCGTTAGGTTGTTCGCGAATCTATTTGAGTCTGTTAGTGAACCGAGAATCGTAAAAATATGTTCATGTTTCTCGATGAACATCTGTAAACGGACGATGGCCGAAAGATCTACTTTGTCGACAGCAAATATAACATCAGTCATGGTTAAATGGAGAGAGTGTAATGGATTTATGTGTTATTTTCGACAGCTAATAAAAATCGACGCAAAATCGACGCAGAAATGTGTCAAATATTTCAGTTATAAATGAATTTCAACTTATCTCGAGTCTAAGGATTTTGAACGGTTGTGCACAAACGGGCTAGGATATCGGGACTGAAAAGAGTTTGCTAAGTAGAAAAGGAAAATCTCTTAGCTGTTTTATTAGAGAGTTTGGGATATTGTCCGTACCTACTGAGTGAGAATTAGGGAGATGGCTTATAAGTTTTTGAATAGTTTCAGGAGAAAAATTAATGATGCTGACAGATGCATCAGACAACGGAGGAATTAAAGGGATTGGGTCAGTTTCAATGGTGAAATGTTTGACAAAGAATGAATTTAACGTTTCTGCTTTGCCTGACTCCTCTGTAATCAAGGTGTCGTTGGTACTAAGCAAATACGGAATGACTTGGTGGGATTTAGCAGATGATCTTTGACGGAAGATCTAGGCAACTGATTTAGAAGCATTCACGTCATTAATAGCTAAAGACTCTCTACGCCTATCTCGTGCGAGTCTCATTTTCGAAGCTGATTCAAATATTTCAACGATTCTTAGGTGAAATTATAATCAATTCACGGAAGGATGTTTAAGTGGCTTCTGTTGTTTTTTAGGTCTGTTTTTAAGAAAGTGTGGGACAGCGGTGAAGTGGTACTCGATTTAAAGGTCTTCCGAGGAACAAGATCGAGAAGACCCTCTGTTACGCATTGTAATAAATTATAGAGTAAACTTAGATCATCATTTGAAAAAATACTGTGCAATCAAGAGTGCATATAAAATTATTTACTAATTCCTTGTTAATATTAGCAAAGTCAAAAATGCTACGTTGTACTGTTGGCTTTGCGGAAATGGCAACTGGAAGTCGAAAATGAATTAACGCATGATCAATTACAAAAAGGTCATGATAGAAATCCATTGATAGAGGGAAGGTGCCATTAGTAAAAATTAAATCTATTACACTGTCGTTTCTGATCGAAGAGTGGACTAATTGAGACAAGTTTGAAAAGTGAATGGTGTCTAGAAGCTTCTGGAATTTAGGAGAGGAACTATGCGTACGCCAGTCAATTTCTGGCAAATTAAAATCGCCTACGATTATCTTGGCATCGAAAGAAGTTTCTGCAATTTTTTCAAAGAGTTCACAGAGCTGGCTTTCATTTCCGGAGGAACAAGGAGGATTATATACACATCTGATTAAGGCTTTCCTATTTTGCGAAAGGATTACCGATACGAAACATAAATTTCAGGAGAAGAAGGGAATGTTCAGGTCACTAGGCGACTGTGTTCAGGAAAAAATAACAGAGGAACTGTTGGATTTTAGGTTTTGTGGTCAGTGATCGATTAACGATGAGAAGTACAGCGAGACTACAAACATTACGAGAGAGTATGGGGGAATGGTATCGTTCGACGCAGTCATCAGTCATCCGAGAATTGTCTACCTGTGGACGGCAAACGACACGAACAGTCATTGCTGCCAGTCATCGGTGTCTCAATGTCCATTTGCTTCAATTAGGACGAATGGATCCTTGATAGGGGGACAGACACATTTCAGTACGTATGGCGGCAATGCGCAGATGTTGAGTACGATCCTCATCCCAGGTTAAGTAAGCTTAATGTTCGATGAATTTGTAAGACAATCGAAGTAATCTTGCACATTCTCTTATTCAACGTAAACTAATAGAACTTTTCCACACGGGTAGCGTACTATATTCTGAATGACGAGTAACTTACCATCGATTGTGACTGACCCCTCTGTGGGAGTCTTACCAATGAGAAGTCTGTGTTTCCGAATCGACCTAAATTGCGTAAGTAAGTCACCCATTGGCGGTAGTGGATCGTTACTGTGCTTAAAGTTAGAAGTCCATTCTGGTGGACAGTGTAGTGGGCGTCGCTCTGTATGAAGCTCCCCTAACCTGCGCACCACTTGCTGGAGCGGTTGCAACGGCTTTCCAGGCCTATGTTTCAAATTGCCAAGAAACCTTTCGAAAGGTAGTGGCGAACAACTCTCAAGCGGACCATGTCGCAGAAAATCGTCCAATAGGTGCCCAATACTGTGGACATTGTACACCATTTCAGACTTACCATATATCACGGAATATCTCCCAACGAACATCCTTCGCGAGTCCCTACTATACGACACCCACTGTATTCACGATCGCGGGGAAACCAGACATCGTATTGCTGTGAACAACAGCAGAAAATTTCTTCAGTGCTCTCGAGGAAGAATACCTCTAGCAACTACTCCTCCTTTATAAAGCAGGAACTGATGAAGTCCCGATCTCTTTCATACGCCCCAATTAGTAAGAGACCTGGCGCGCTGCAAGAATTGCCACGGCAGGTGTGGATTCGAAGCCTTTAACCTATCATTTACTGTGTTTACTGCTGCGTCTGACAACCTGAAGGCTTTTTCCCTTGGAAATTTCAGCCACAAGTTAAAAAAACCTTCTCATGACACCTAGCCAGACTTAATGAACAGGATCTAGAAGAAAAGAACTTGCCATTTCTACGTTGTATGCAAGAAGCGGTGAAATGCCAATGCAATGACAGTTATCGGTGGGGGATAAAAATCCTCATCCGCCCTAACAGGTTCCGACATGAAGTTGTAAATTACCTAGTCTATATATTCACCTCTGACACAGCATCCTACTTATCCATAGTTGAAATTAACGTCTTTGATTTGCCTTATAAATGTCCTTGCTCGCCTATCAAGGCTACTGCGGCCAAAGGGAACTGTTGTGTTCGGTTGGCAATATCGACACGCAGACCCGACCTAACCAGAGATACTAACTCCCCCGTCAGCAGTCTGAAGAACAACTGCACATCTGACGGCCTATCAAATCAGCAATAAATTCCTACAACAAGTATTTCGCTGAAAAAGGATTGTATAATTCTACCTAAGATAGGTCAAAATTTACGTTTCGCTTTCTTATGTATAGGGGGCCCACCAGTAGATAAATATGCAAGCGCTAAATCTCCTGTAATATGCCTGGAAGGGACCGGTAACGATCTGCTAATTGCTTTACTAATTCTAGATGGACTTACTCATCACTGCTCATTGTCGTTACCGTTACCACATTGCCTGTCCCACCCAGCAGTGTTCGCTTGTCCGAGGGCAAATCCGGCAACATCCTTCTCATAATCTTGAGAAAATTGGTCATACGCTCGAGGGGTATGCGTGAGCATACTACCCACAGCTGTAAAACATCTCTTACACTGGGCTCCTCTAAAGAATGTCCAGTTGACAGGGTCCTCGTAGATTCGTCGAGCACCGTGTTCGATGGCCCATGCAGAAAACGCGATTCCTCGTTAAAAGAGGAAGTTGCGGTTACGCCTGATGAAGTGCGGCACGATAAAATATCCAATGAGGATGATACTGAGTCGGATGGACAAATTTCCTTCATATTCTTGGCGATTTGTTCCTGGGTTTGTTAACAGCAGCATCGACACGTCTCTTACATGTCCTCCATGATATTTTCTTCGAAATTCTAGCAAAAACAAAAATGGCCCATGGAGCAGGTTAAGTAGAGAACAGCATCAAAACAGCAATAGAGTGCGCTCAGTAGCCTGAGCGAGCAGGAAGTGTCGTGTCTGAGAGCTCGCGCGAAATCAAGCGCCCCGTCGATCGATTTGCCAATAGCCATGCACGCATTCGTTTTCGCCTTAGCGACGCGATAGCTAGATACTCCGGGAATTATCATTTCCCAATAACGATTGGATGCGGAGGCTATCATCTATATTCGGCTCTCCTTGCTATTATGGTTATCATGTCCGTGTCATATAGATCGCAGGCTGGCTTGTATGACAAGTTAACTCGGTTGTAATACGAAATCACACTGTAGCCCCAGCCTATTACCCCAACTACCCGCTAAGGCAAGTCTCAGGATACATTACTCTGCTTGACAGCTACAAAATAACGAAGACCGCATTCCAACCCCTATAGTGATCTCCAACTCTACTCCCCCGTGGTTCGCTTAAGTATTGATCCGGAATTTATTGCCCAAGAGTCCCATCGATGGTCGAGGATATTATCTGCTGTCTGTAATCCTGTTGTTAATTGTTTATTTTATTTTTATCTCTCAATAAACTGTCTTCCCTATCATTCCTAGTGTGTCATTATGTCTGCCGAGTCACATGATCAATCCATTGGAAATCCTTTCTCAGTTGGCTCTTCCAATTAAGTATCCTGAAGAAACCCGCGATCTGAAGCTCATAGAAAACAAGGAGAAGCTGGGTACTTCACCATCTCCAGAGGTGTGTTAATCATTCACACTGAAGGCCTCTCCGACATCCGAGTTTTTGACTGTGCTACATTTAGGGCGGGCGAAGGAAATAAAGCACGTTGTTGGGGCTGCTGTCTGCGCACCACTAGCAGAGTTTTCTGCTTTAGAGTCCACCAAACGTCTGTCCGGAGCTGCTTAACCACCTCAGGGTTCAAGTGAATTTCGTGCCTGAGCAGATCTCAATTCGTTTAGTGTAAGTCTTTTTCCACCATCTTCAAAGCTTTGGTGTTTTGGTAACATCCATGGCCCTAATCGCAAAATGCAAGTACAATGTCGACGTAATTCTGACATTTCCGGAGAGATAATCCTCCATCGCCTTGTTAATCTTAATCTTCATTGTGTGATTTTATGGAATTCTATGATCTAGTTGGAATATTGAAGCAATAGTGCTTCTCAACAGCTGTTGAAAAGGCAAGTCGGCTATGGCCACTGAATAAGGATTTTCGTCGAAACAAGCTTAGTTGACTTGATCTACCCCGCCTACATTTGCTTACATGAGAAAAGGCGCTTGTACAGGCGACCCAACAACCCATAGAAGATTACCGATAGTTTATTGACGTTCCAGATCAGCCGAATTACATGTATGTCATGCGGACCGGTCTGGTATATTTTCTCCCTGGGTGATTACGCCCGATTTTGCTTTTTCATCACTTGGCACAATCTTCTATTCACATAGACGGCAGTCTGTCGGATCACACGTCACTTTGTGACGGTTTTAAAAAGCACGTTATTCAACAAAAAGTGTCCGCACGTTAAAATTCCCCCTCCCTCCCCCCCCCCCTGCCTACGACGGAACGCCTTGGATGACTGAATTTTCCCCTCTCAGTAGGACTAAGTAGGAGGCTGGCTTTTCCAACCAAGCAACGTGCATGGTCCGCGTGCGTACTCAAAATTTCTTTTAGACGCTTGTTCGCATGCAGCAGGGATAAGAGTTATCATCTCATGGCTTTATTTACTAGTTAAGCAGGTTACCTGAGACGGTTACGACCTCGGAACAGTCACATTAGATAAGTTTGCCGATTCCGTGTAGAATCCAGAAACAACGGCATCTCATCCAATAAACGTATATTTTGCTAATTTTGAAGTACCATAGTCTATGTTGGGCACCAGTACAGCCTGTTTTCTGATATTTATTTAGAGATCTCAAAGTGGTGTGCCATTTCCGCCGGATGGCCATCGGAACTCTTACTGTTATTCTGTTCGACTGCAGTTTGTGGTGTTTAGCCCCGCGGACGTTAATTGATTTTACAGGTCCGCCAACTTTCCGTCTCGACTCTGTTTCTCATATGTTCTGCCAGCGGCTGTGACAGATTACTTGACAGTTTAGGCCCCACCGTCTCCACGCCAACCTTCGGACTCGCAGCTTTAAGGAGCATTTGAGTTGGTCGCTTTCTGCTTTCTTTTAGGGTCGGATGTGTCGGCCGTAAGATCTGCATGTCCCGGACATCCAGCGTTATTCTGGTGCGTTGTAGACTGGTTCATTCACGCGTTTTCGGATCACTTTAATGTTGTAATTGGATGTTTAATGGGTTTAGACCATACTGAGGGGGTTGTGCCAATCAGCCCTTTTCATTGATGTTTTGGCAGATTTTAAATAATTCATATTGACCCAACTGTGAAAAACTCGGTGCCTCGGTGGGATTCAAACACACGCAGTAAGGGGAAGGCTTTAGCGCAGCCAACGCTCTAACCACCTGAGCTACGAGGCCCCGCCGGACGACGCGAGTTTAATCACATTTGGGTCAAGGTACCCGCCCAACCTACTGCAACGTCTGGAATCCACCAAATCTAATACTGTAAGTTGACTGCCCAAGCAGGATTTCCTAAGTAATTCACCTAGAATCAACCAGATGACTACCAGGCTCGCGTAATTCATTGATGTTTTGGCAGATTTTGAATAATTCATATTGACCCAACTATGAAAAACGTTGCAGTAGGTTGGGCGGGTACCTTGACCCAAATGTGATTAAACTCGCGTCGTCCGGCGGGGCCTCGTAGCTCAGGCGGTTAGAGCGTTGGCTGCGCTAAAGCCTTCCCCTTACTGCGTGGGTTCGAATCCCATCGAGGCGCCGTTTTTCACAGTTGGGTCAATATGAATCAGCCCTTTGTAGGCACATAATACTCTGTCTCCAGTAGAAGCGCAGGTATTCGATGCGAGTCTGAAATTAGGTTCCTCTAAAATGTATGCTTGTCTTTTTTGCAGCTGGGGATATCTGTCTAGTCATAGTAGAGGATGAGACTGGAGTTCGTGGACGGTCCGTACCTCACTGGATCCGGTCTTCTGCTTAATGGACTGATTAAATATAAAATCGGCTAAACTGAGCTCGCAGCCTCCTCTAAACTGCTGAAAACCGAAACGATATCAAAGACGTTTAAAATAAAACCGATGATTGCCTAATCCTTGTTGACTCGCATAACTGGCTGTGTTCGGTACGCACCTGAACTTCAGATCGTTCGGAGTTACATCTTGTTCAGGTTGACGATGATGCCAAAGTGACCGTAATGAAAGCGCGTCCGTGGCTTCGCCGTCTGTGACTTGTTTTTTAATTAATTAAACGTGTTTGGGGTATCCTGCCGTCAAGTAGCCGAAATAAAGTTAATAGTTCCCGACGCGGCCAAGTTTATGCGTTTCTTCCACTGTGTCAGTTTTCGTTTACGTTGTTGTAAATACGGAGAGGGACGCATGTTCTGTTCTCACGATTGATTTTTCCATTGCTGACTCCCATGTGAATTTGAACCAATTGGCTTACTGGGTGCGCACTCCGAAAACTGCGGGGTCGAATATACGCTCGAAGTCAGTCTTCCTCCCACGTCTGCAGTTTGTCACGTCAGCATCCTTGTCGGCCCAGGCCATGTTCGGAGAAGACTCCAATGCAGTTGATTTGGCCTCCAGATCGGCAAAGGGTATATCCATATAATCACAATTGGCGAGCGAGGAGGGCACTGTTGACAGCCTCTGGCCATGACCGATTACATAGTCGTTTGTTAGGGGATGGCCTGAACGTTAAATTCAGAGAATGGAATGCAGATTGTACTGGACAAATGCATCTTTTGAGCGCACAGGCCGGATGTCGCATCCATCTAGAGTGATTCCACACTGAAATAAATTCCATAAACTTTGGTGGCATGCCACAATGCAGCATAATTTACGACCGGGAATCCTGATAAACAGAGTGAAGTACATCCATGAGGTATACGTGATTAGGATATTGATTGTAGTTGCAGTACTCCAAGCTTCTTCGAAACAATAAGTATTTATAGACGTGCTGGCCGATAGCTGCACCTGTTCTTTGTCCAGCGTAACGTTGCCGACTGAAACGGTTGAAGACGTCTGCAAAGACTTACTCGAATTTTAAGGAAGCTTATTGTGTTAGTTTGTGCATAGTGGCAGAATCACTCTCAATGACAGCTTTCATAATCAGGCAAACACTATCGAACAGCAGTTGCCAGTGTCTGCTGCCGGATGTTTTGTTTCTCAATCTTGCTGGCGCACCGGCAGATGGTGGTCCGCGGTCGCAGGGTATGTATGTTGAAGATGCCGTTGCAGTTCTATTCGGACTCGGAAATTTGAGATCTAACGCAACAATTCTATCGGATACTGCAAAGCCTAGTGACAAAAGTGCTACATGGTGATCTAGAACAGCCGTCTAAGAAGTACTTTTTTATTAAATCTCTCTTCTGGTTTGGCATCCACCCGAAGACCGATTTTAAGACTAGGGAACTAATATGACAGTCAAACTTGCCCCAGTGCGACGTTATTATTGTTGCAGCTACCGGAACATAAGGAAGGAGTGGTTGACTAACTGCCTATATTCAATTCGTAAGAAGACTCCTCAAACAATGTCCAATTCGAGTAATGTGATCCATACTTTAACATTGAATACTGGAGTTTGTGGATATTTCTGAACCCTGGCACTCCAAGTATGACGGCGCAATCTTCATCGGTACAAATTGGTTGTCTGCTGCCTACCAGAAGTCCGAATTCCCGGCTCGGGTGATTGGACAATTAAGGCTCCGAGGGTCAACCCTCACTCCGCCTTCTGGCACATCGTCGTACGCGGCTCTTGGTAGACACGGTGCGGCGATTGTCCTTTCGAAACAAGTATACCATGCACTTCTTGCTTGCGAACCAGTAAGTGACCGACTGACTAAAATTCGGCTGAAGGAACACTTTACGAACATATATGTCGTCCCAGTGTGCCCACTGGCGATCACCATCTGCTCGAGACTGCAAGAGCTAATTAAACGACCCCCCGCCATGATCGTCTGATTGTTGTCAGGGCTTAGAATGGCCAGACTGGACCCGGCGACTATTCACACAGTCATTTTACTGGCCGCTACGGACCTGCCTCTCAATGCAACGAGGGTTAGAGAATGCTGATCTTTGCTGGTTGTCTGTCTTCAGCACGTGCCTTCAGTCTCACCGCAGACATCTGCTGACCTGGTACTCATGCGTTGGTTGTAAAATAGGCCAGGTTGAGCACATTATAGTTGATTCAAGGTCTAGTGACTACTTTCATGACAGCAGATCGGTCCGTGATGTCAAAGCTCACAAGAGCTACGAGCCAGACCTGAAATGTCGCCTCTTGTCCTGGCCCAAGTTGTCTCATGTAAGCCGCCTTGGTTTTGCAAAAATACGGCAACATAATACAGCCGAGACTAAGCACGGAAAACCCGTTTCATTTTACGACCCGGAGGGGAGGAACGGGTAGTAGCAAGTGATCATCTTTGATGTCAATCTACGCGGCAGCTGAGGGAGTTCTTGGATAAACCCAGCGGCGCGGCAACGACTGGATCAGCGGAAGAAACTTACAGTTGTCTTCCCAGACGACTCAAGCTACGTACTACAATAATTGTTGCGTTCATCAACTGCAGGAAATGACGGCAAAGTCGGCTAGAGATGGTCGCAAAAACTATTGGCCTAATTTGACTTTGGCGCTCGAAAACCCTACAAAATCATTCCCAAGGCCAGTGGTAACCCCCTGCATTCAGTGTCTGTTCGTGCTGTAAATGGCGGATGCACTGTCGAAGACTCGCCCAAGGCCGAGTACTTGCGTGAGCGGGTGGGGAGACGATTCGTGCCCTCTACAAGGGGCCACGCGAGTGTTACGCTGTATCAACACGGAGCCAGATCAGAGTACGCCACGCGTTATTTGGGCTTAGCACTCATAAGGAATGTCACACCTGGGGGTGTGGCGGTACGTCTGGCCGCGGGCCCGCTCCGGGTCAGCCATCTGCGCCGAATCCCCATATCGGATGGTTATCCGACTTGAACAGTGGACTGGTGTCCGGAAGAGGGAAGAGAGTGAGACCGAATCTGGGGAAGGCGTTTCCTCAGCAGCCAGCGCATATTCCTAAATAAACAATCTGACACGCTTTTAAACTATGCCAGTGGGCTGAAAACCGTGACTTGAAA